CTCATGCTGGAGTATAATGCAAAAACGTAGGTTCCACCGAGATTTGAACTCGGGTCGCAGGATTCAGAGTCCTGAGTGCTAACCGCTACACCATGGAACCGACAAGCATTGTGCTCTCTTAACCATACAATTGTTGTTCAACTCAGCGAAGATAAGAAGAAGAGAGGAGTGAGAGAGAAACACAAGTTTGCCCGAAATTATTTATGGGTCAAAGATGATAAACAAACAGAGAACTTCGAAAAACTGATAAGCTAACAGAGTTTTTGAAATTTTTATTTTCTTTCACGCACAGAATGGGGGAATATATATGGTGATGATCGCTTTTTACAATTTCTACATGATTATTTAGAAAGGTAGAGATGTCTTCGAGTGGATTCTGATCTCGAAAAGGTTGAAATCGCGAAACTACTTGATGTGGACACCAAAAACTTCAACGTCACCTTCTACGGTGAGCTTATTGATTGTGTGGACGGGTAATCGATGTTCGAACGAACAATAGTAGCAGTCGTTTACCAGAACCTAAATATCAGAAGCCTTTTTAAGTTTGAGAATGATGAATGTTACAGTAAACTTTTGATCTTCCACGAAAATCAATAGGTCAAACGTTTTCTTCTTTTGCATTGGGAACTTCATGCCATCGCCGAGTTTCTCCTCTGTCCCCCATTTGTTCTCGATTCGAGAATTCCGATAGATTTTCTATAAATTTCAGAATTGCTGCTGAAACAAAAGCGTTTCTCTAATGTGATAGTTAATGAGCTTGATTGAATGAACAACCTTATCCTTGAAATTTGGATTCAAACGGAAAGCGACATCATTGCCAGACATGAAGTCAATGGTGAATTGCTTGGCTGTCTTGATAACTGTTCCTGAGATGTATAGTTTCCTTCCACAGAATAGATTTCCAGGTATTTCAGCTGTATAAGGCACTTGCTAGAAGATCAAGGTGTTAAAACGTGATTTAAGTGGTCTTAAACAGAAATAAAATCAGAACTCACATAAAATTTGCCTTCCCATGCTACAGTATACAACTGGATATCTCCATTCACGTAGATGTGAGAGATGTTGTTGATTGGCAGATAATGAGCGAAAGTTGCAATGAGTTTGTGTTCAACATAGACCTAGTATGCAAGCGATGAGCACTTCAATTGAAGTCAAGCAATTAGCCTACGGTAAAGACATCCTCAGCACATCGGATGCGAATATCGAACTCATCGCCTTCTTTCCATCTGTGTCGGAAAGCAACTTCTCTATAATTGGAAATGAATATTTTGAATTTCAAATTGTCATATGTATCAGTCGTACTTTCCCCATTCGCCATTAACGCAGCCGTTTAGAAACAATTTTTTCTTTGAAATATTGGCTCGGAAGCTGAGGAGACGATTATCCAGTTGGTCATTATCGTTTTCAATTTCAACACAAGGGCCGGATGTTAAGTTTATTAAGAACTCGTCGTTCCCTATAATCAGACGATGAGGATGTCTCTATGGCGATGACTATAAGAACAACACGTGTTCGAAATGGCAATTGAAAGTGTTAAAGTATGAAATCGTTAACCTGTTACATATCCACGGACAACTAATGATTGGCCGGCTTGTAATTGGTTTCCTTCCAAACGTGATAAGTATGGAACTGGCTAAATTTAAGTGTTTATATAAAAATAATAAAATAATCCTTACAAATGTCTTATTTCGACCAGTTACGGAATCTTTTCGTGTTAAGACCTTTTTCTTCGGAGCGAAGAAACGACGGAAGATTTCTGCCATAGTTGACTCTCAAAATGAAAGATTCATGAAAAGCACAGTTGGCATGTATATGTATATTCAACAAATGATAATCGGAATGAAAAACAAAGGCATAGGCTCAGTATAAGGATGCTGATGCCCACAAACTTTTCGGAATGAAAAAGTTGTTAACCTTAAGACAAACAATCTAAAAAACAATAAGAATCTATGTTGTAACATCAAGCCTTAATGAGCGACAAGGTTGTTAATCAGGTAAAGATGAAGAGAGAATGGAGAGAGGGAGAGGGAGTGAGAGAGAGATAGAGAAGGAGAGAGAGAGAGAGAGAGAGAGATACTGCCATCCAACCAGAGTCAATGTTGGCAATCAGAAGAATGAAAGCAAATCATTTAATGATTGTTAAGAACAAAAAGAAACAGAACAATCCCATTTATGGAATGAAGAAAATTGACTTCCAACCCCCCCGGGTTAAGAAAAAACAGGGCATCAACGAGAGAGTATGTGATGGAGAGAGAGAGTACAGACGGTTAGGTTAAAGGGTAAAGGTGTAGGAAATAAGAGTTTATTTCAAATGAAATTGAGGTGCAAGAAAAAAAGGTTTCTTCACAATTCGTTCCCATAATCTACAGAAAAAAGTATGATAGGGAGAGAGAGATGGGAACAGAGAGAGAGAGAGAGAGATAACGAATGAAGGAAGGAAAACTTCCCAACTGAGAGTAATGAAAGAAAAAGTTGTTTTGTGATCGTTTCAGAAGGCGAACGGATTGCCTTCCGAAAGTTTTCGCCCATGTTATAATCAATTGATTAACCAAAATAAAATTTTTCATAAAAAAAGGGAAAAGAATGGTCGGCTGATGAGGTGCATGCATGTTGTGGGTGACTGTGGTTAGAGAGAGAGAAGGTAAGACGTAAGAAACAATCTTTCAACCTTTTAAACAGATTTTTGAAATGAAAAATATCAAAAAATGCATGTTGACTGAACAGCATTCCACGCCTCACATTACAAAATATTAATTCGATTAATGACAATGAAAATGTTTTTTTCATGAATTAATTGAAACTTTCGCTAAGCGCTCAAGGAGAGGGTGGGTGAATGAATGGAAATTTTAAATTTTTTTAGCCGCCGAAGGAAGGGAGGCTTAAATGATAAATGAAGCTTCATTTACATCTTCGATCCTGTCAGCTTCTCCCGAGAATACTTTCATTTTCGAATTTTCATTCGTTCACAGCGGTTGCACATTCCGTCAGATCAGTCACTCAAGTCTCTGCGATACTCTCTGACTCGCCTCATTTTTCTTATCAAATCACACGAACGTTGACGTAAATTGATAGTCTCGTTAATTAACTCACTTTGCTTGTCAGTTTTCGTTTTTCACGCCGTTTACTATTTGCTTTGTCTGCTCCAGCTTGTGCGTTAGAAACTTTGCCAAGTTTATTTACTTTTAATAGAAAACCACTCATATATCCTTCGTAACGCATCAGTCTGTCGCCTACTTTGTGTCTTTTGTTCCACCGAATTATGCTTCCGTTTTCCATTTTTTAATCAAATACCTAGCGTTTTAGCTCTGTTCCAAAGACTTTTTGTGTGAGAAAAAAACTTTTTCCTTCTCCAAATCAACGTCGTCTGAGCATTAACCAGATTGTAAGCTCATACTCCTGTGAATGACCAAAAATCCAGTCTTTCCAACTATATTTGGTGCGAAATATTGCCAACAAGTAGGCAAAATACCCATAAAATTGCATTCCCACTTCTTCCATTCATAAAAGACTCTAATAATAATAGGACGTTATTCACCTATTTATACAAATAAGGCCATAGTTTTATTATTGTAAAAAAGGATTTGTTTGAAGTCAGACGCGTGCGGCTCGCGTCGCGGTCAACTGGACGCCTGCCAAGACAGTTTTTGCTACTGCACGTTATTATGTATTTTAGATACACTAAATAGTCTTTTATAAATTACTTCGATCTCATTAATCTTTATTGAATGTATTGCAATCACGTCGAACGCTTTTTTTTGTTTTCAGCCGTCGGAAGAAATAAAAAATGCCGGCCATGCCTGGTCATCAGCGTAACGTTTCTCAAGGACAACATGTGAGCTTTTTTTTTTTACTTCTCTCGATAGGGATTGTTAACCTGAATGTTCTATTCAGCTCATTGTCGATCGCACAGATTCAGGAGATGATGAAGATGTAGAACGCTGTAATGGCACCAGGACACCACCCATTTCACAGGTTTATATATGCTTTTTTTTATTTGCTTTTACTGTTTGTTCTTTCTTATCATGCTTTGACCATTTAGGGTGTTTATCCTGGCGGCAGTCCCACCCATGAACATTACAGGCCTCAAGATAACAAAGCCAAGTAAGGCACTGTTTGATTTTCCATTCTCACACTCTATTTTTCCAGAGGGTTATGTAGTGACCCACAGATCCAAGCAAATGTTAAAGTAATTCTTGGATCCATTGTTCTTACAGTTGTTGGAACAAGTAAGTTGTGAGTTGTTTTCATTAAATATGTCTGAAATTTTCAGTTTTACTTGTCGTTGGCGTTATGGCAATGTTCAAGCCGGAGGAAGGTAAGTGCACGCGAACGTATGCATGTGAAATGAAGTTTTGTAGGACCGCAAGGCTGGGTGTTCTTATTTGCTGGCTTTTTATGTTTCGTTCCCGGATTCTACCATGTGTACTACATATTATGCACATTGTGCGGTCGACCGGGATACTCATTCGATAAGTTACCGACGTTCAATAGATAACAATGAGTGAAGCTGTAAGTTTCTAGCGCTATGTGATATTCGAATATTCCAATTCTTTAAATTGTTATATATTTGTATATGGAAATAACTTGTCTCCGCTCTCTCACTTCATCAAATACAATTTGATCTTTGGGAAGATAGTTGAGTTGCAAATTCTCAGGTCCCTCTGTATATTCTGATATGATTGTATATATTTTATTTTTTGGGATGCTTTTCTTAGACAAAACATCTCCCTAGATATGTTGGTCTCTATATTTGGCATAATATTCTTGTCGCTAACTCCGCAGCTTACTCCTTCCCGATGTTGGTGGCATAATTGACACTGTGGGCCAGGGTCCTTATTTCTAGTTACTTGCCGTCTTTGCTGAATTTAGTCATTTTTTATTTCTCCCTCTCACTCTCTCACTCTCTCTCACTAACAATCGTTTAGATCCTTCATTTCCGAAGAAGAGTATGAGTTAAATGAGCTGAAATTGAATTTTTACGGCTCTAAACTCACTTCTTCATCCTCAATTTTACAGAACTTGCTTTTGTACATAAAAATTTTGTAGATTTGTCATCCATCTCTGAAGACACAAATGAAACCGAATGATTCTCAGCATTGTAAGCAAATTGTTCAAACGCATACGTTGACATTAGGTGTTTACATGGAGTTTCTGCTAACACAAAAAAGTAACCTTTCTTCTGGTCGCGGTTCGTCATTCGAGACGTACGTGTCCATAGAGTTCACCACAGTACAGACGTTTTTGAATTCACTTCTTTTGCAGCAGTAGTACGAAGATCGTTAGTACAATGTTTCGCTTGGAGTATGATATATATAATTCTAGACTACTTACCTTGATAGAATGCAACCGCTCCGCACGATATGATGATTATAAATGAAAAACAAGGTTCACGGGTTAAGCGTGCATATGCTAATTAGCTGGTGCTTACATTACACGGAAATGAAATGTGTTTGAGAATTACAAATGAAGAAATACGTTATTACGTATGCTTATAACTGACATATCATCCCAAAAATGGCTCAAATTCTCAATGATATTAGATGACATTAAGACATATTATATCTTACAGTAAGCGAAGTGATCATATTAGCCTAAGGTGTTTGAATTCACGAATTTTCCACGAAAAACCAATATACACCCATTAATATCCCATGTTATAAGTGAAATATAAGAATTATCCTTTTGAGTCGTCTTACATCTGACGTTTAGCAACTATCTCCCGTGTATCTACCTTGAAGCAAGCTGTTCTCATGGCAGCATTAACCAGTCTAGTCACCTTCCCTCCCGTCCCCAATGTAATTTACAATTAGCACTTTAATAAATAACATTTATTGAGAGAGAGACAGAGAGAAAACAAAAATTATTAAATACAATGCAGCTTTTATTATGATGTCCACAATCACATCGTCATCCGATGAGTTTTAAGAAACATTAGCTACTACAGTAATCCTTTGAGCTATTTTGCTGAGAATAATCCCTGCAAGACCCGTTTTAATGTGATTAGTGTTTGCGAACTTTTAATTGCGTTAGGATTATCATACTAAGAGAAGAAAGGAAATGTGCGGAAAAGTAAGACGAAATAAATGAAATATAGCCTCTGTAGATGATACTCTACCACCAAGATATCATCCAGTAACATGATTTGATAGACGTCGAATGTATAATGAAGTTGGAAATTGAAAAAAAGTAAATGACAAAGACGCATGGATTGTCTGAGGTTGCATGCTATGAATATTAAGATCCGCTTGACTTAAGACTCGTAGATTCGCGATTCTGCTTTCGTTCCTTGGCTCGTCGGTTCTTGAACCAGACCTTAAAAAAGAAGGATCAAAAGCATTCATTAGTTTATTAAATAAATTTTTTTTCTGTTTAATCAAGCATGATCGTTTAGAGGTCGAGACACTTAGATCATTTCTAGCTTACGAAAGCTCCAGCTGTCTTCGTATCTAAGTGAACCGATTATTATACGGAATGGTCACCGCTAATTACAGGTGACAATAATCTTTTGAGCCATCAGATCTGCTCTATTGGATTATGGGCTGGCCACCATACAACCTAATGTCGTCAATATTGTCGATTAGCCCTTCGTCCTTACATATGTTTAGTATTTCATTATTTTTGTGTTGTTTTTTGTTGTCTGATGGGAATGGAAGCTGTAACAAACCTCGACGCGCTCTTCCTTCAGATCGCACTGGACGGCAAGCTTCTCACGTTGGGCTACATCGGGATAGTGGGTGTTGGTGAAAGTCTCTTCCAAAATCTAAAATGATATCAACTAGACGCATCACGTCATTGTATGACTCACGTTCAGTTGATCTTCAGAAAAAATAGTTCGATGCCTTCTCTTTCGTTTTCCGGAAAAATGAAAGGTAGGAAAGCAGTTCGGCATAAACTGATTGGCAGTCATGAGATTTGGAGCTGAAAAAGAAAGAAAATAATATTTTGAAAGATTTACAAACATCAAAAGTAAATTGTAAAGCTTGACGTCATCATGTGTTATGAATCAGCGCCAGTACATGTGCTGAAGGTATTTGAGCCGTTCAGTGAAAGTTAGGAGAAAGAAAAAAGGATTGTCTGTTTACTTATCTACTTGAGTATTTCTAGTAAACGATTCACAAACGGCCTTCTTTGGCATTTCTTTTTTCAGCTATTTCGGGGTATCAAGTGCGTGATGAACTCAGAATTGATACATTGTATGTGAGAATGTTTCACAGAAACAACGCTTTCTGTTTAAGCACACAGAGACATACATGCACACACACACACTCACACTCACTCACACATCAACCATCCAGCGACACAGTGTCAGACAAAACGGTTTTTTCTTGGAAACGTTTAGAATTATGGAAAAAAACCGTTTTTTGTTTCTTAAGGCATCCAAGATCACTTTGTCAATATTTTCTTTCATCGCATTTCCTTTTCATTTTCCGGATTCAAAAGATTATGGACAGAAGAAGGAACTTGTTGGCTATGTACGGTCATGCACAATATAACAAAAATATTTAAGAAATTAATAAGGCCAAGTATAATTGAAGATAAAACTGCGAGACAATCTACCGTAAGCCTGGCTCTCCTCATCTCCTCTCTCTAGCACCTCCTGTATGCAACACAGAATCCAATTCAAACCAAAAATTTAAAAACAAAAAAAACCATTTCTAGTCAGCCAGTCATAACAACTCAGTTTTAGAGATTGCAGATGAAATTACGAAGCAACTTCAGTTCGATCACTCAGTTAATCGTTCAATCGCAATCGCAATCTGATTTAAATGAAAAGTCAAAAAATTCGTTTCCAATAATCAAAACCGAATCAGAATTAAATAATTGGATTTGCGCTATTCAGCCCGATGAGACACAACTACTCCTCTCTCTCTGTCTCTCTGTCTCTCTCTGTCTTTCCTTCTCTCTCTCTACACCATACCCCCCATTTCAATCATGAGAACAGTAAGATTATTAGAAACAAATGAATTCCCGTTATACATATATGGAAAAAGAGACAACGGAACTTACGGAAAATATATGGTGCAGGTATTGACGCTGTCCAGGGCTGAGGAAACATCTCATTAAGTGGCAGCTGAGGAATAGCAAAAGGTATTCGGGCAGATAAAATATTTTCAATTGAAAAAGGTGTAGAACTGTTAGAACTATAATATATATAATTAATATACACTTACTTATATGGATTACTTACTTAGATGGTACTGTACTCATGGCTGCAGCCTGTAAGCAACTTCTGAGCTGGTCGACAGTAGCTGCAGCAGATGCTGAAGCTGCTGGTAAGTAGTACGACGGCTGATATGAGGATGAGGACATGTGTATCATCAGAATATGTTGATGATATCTGTATACCGCAATAGGATGGATGAACTGATAGGTGACTAGAGGTGACTACGGTAGGGAGTGAAAGTACGTAATTATATAATTCTGAAATACACATAGTTAATGATATTGAAAATGAAGTTGTAATGTAAATCAATTATGACATGAGAGCAATAAAAATAATATAAATGAAGCAGCCAGAAACACCCCAAGAAATTACTAAGAAGGACAAGCCGGCCAGCTGGGCCGCTACAGAACCAACTCCGCCCCTTCACCCCAGACTCTCACTTCATTGGCTAGCCACGCCCAGCTTCGCATTAGAAGTGTGCAAAACTAACGACTATAGCACATTATTATTATATTTAATACTAAAATGAAAGACTTTAAATGTATTAAAGATTCCGAGGCTTGATGCAGACAATCTATTGGATAAAGCAAAAGCAAAGAGGATGAGGAGACAACACAAGTTGAGGATTTGAGTTCAAATTAGTAACGCCGGCATGCTAAAGCCTTTCTAAGTAAAGCTTCATCCAGGAAAGCATGAGTAAACAACTGTCAATCTGAACATTCATGCAATAATGAGAATTCAGATGATAATCCATAACACTGAGAAAGGCCGTAGATTGACAATCTTAAAAGCTTTAACAAAATTATTATAATTCTGATAATTCGCATTAATGAATGTAGTTCGAACTGAGAGAGAGAGAGAGAGAGAGTAATTGAATATTACAAGAGAGATAAAGAGAGGTTCGGAAAGAGAGAGAGAGAGAGAGAGAGGTACAAAGAGAGAGTGAGAGGATAAAAAATCAAAAATAGGACAAAGCAAGAATAAACCGATCGTTTATTTACGTTCAGAAGTACAAATCGATGAGTCTTCTGAGCATTGAAACACCTCTATGTTGACTGAGAACTGTCAGATTTGTAATACAAGAGCAATTCAATGCTTTTTCCTGTAGCTCTTGCCGTGAAAAATTGCTTAATAGACTACAAAGCATTTGTTTGAAGAAGAGAATCAGAAGCTGTATAATTAGTTCCAAATATGGTCACTTAATATCATAAGCCTTTGTATTGAGTTAGTCTAGAGGAGGAGAAGTATAAGAGAGAGAGAGGTAGAGAGAGAGAGGTAAAGAACGGTATGTATGAAAGGAAATGAAATGATACGAATGAATTGAGTTGTGACATGCAACACGAACTGAATATCAGAGACACTTGCATATGCATGCTGCCAGAAGTACTGTACAAGACTACTGTTCAAGTTTTAAATAGGATAATGCTTATATGCCATTGATAACTAAGATTTAACTAACATCAAATGTTAATAATGATAATCAAAGTTGACAGCTAAGAGGTAAAGATAGAAGAAAGAATAGAGGTTTGGAAATATAAAGAAGGTCGTCAGAAGCAACAGCACTACTACACTACTCTCCCGCCCATACACACACATGCATACACAGCTGATTCGATTAGCTGTCCTGACACGAATTATGCTATCATCGGATGAAATCAGAAGACAATCAAACATAGGATCACGGAATCTTCCACAAAAAAAAAGGACAAAAAAAATGCCATAATCATAAGGTTATGAAGCAGCAGCCAAACATGTTTGAGAATAGATGAGAAGGTGCAGACTGACTCTGAAGAAGATGACAGTATAAGTTCTCTTTGAACGCAACCATCTAACCCTCAAGCCAAGAGTTCACCCTAAGAGTTGAAGGAAAGAGAAGGGGGGGGGGAGAGGATGGCTGTCCTTGCGCGCATTCACTGAACCGAAGTAATTTTAGCCAATGACACAAATGTGTTAACATCAACCAATATCTTCATTCTTCTCTCATTATGATCCTTTGATTTAGTCTCTATCTTTCATAATCAGTTGGCTCAGTGAATATCGGCCCTGTTAGAACCTACTTTATCTCATTTAGTGTTTAACTGATTTCATGGCAATGAATGAATGCAACTGAATGATTATCACGTTATCTTCCTATCTCTCTCTCTCTCTCTCTCTCCTTTCAAGTCTCTCTCTCTTTCTCTTCAAGTATCATACACACCTATCTGGAGTTCGTTTTTCAGCAGACATTTTCATTCTTCATCAATAGATTATTTTTCGCTTTTGTAATATACTCGGTTTCAAACAATCTAGCTTTTCTTTGATGTCACTTTCATAAGTGTCTGCGATGTATTCTTTTCTTGCTAAGCTGTCATAATCCGATCAACCAATTCAACCGAATACTGTAAGACAGCCTTAAGGAATACGGTAGCTAGATGAGAAGATGGTTTCTAATATAGTCGTCAGTCATCTAATCTTAAACATACTAACTGTTATATAACAAATGAAATGCAAATGAGCTTGACACATTGATATGTATACGTCGTCAACAGAAAAACTTGTTCACAATTGGCAATAGAGCAAGCTCACTGCCACATATGTATACATGAAATGTGCCTTCTGTAGACGTTCATTTGCTTTTCAAATCAATAACTGAGACTATACAACTGTAGTTAAGATTCTTTTCAACTTAACATCATCATCATCTCATAACTTTTGAAACAAACAAAAAAAGAATTTGAACGAGTAAAGAAGAAGTACAAGCGGAGGAAGGATGATGAGAAGAAGAAGAAGAAGAAGAAGACGTCGAGGAAGGAAGAATGAAGAAGGTAGATGATTCAACTACTGCCATTCGCATGTCTTTGAAGACTTACATTGAACAATAGTCAAACACAAGTAATAGAGGTATTTGTTATAGAAGATACACTTATCTAGTTCTCAACATGTGCTCAAACGATAGTTTACAATACAAATTCTATGAATCTATCGCCTCTTCCTCACTTTTCTATTCATTTCAATCATCTATCGACTGTCTTTTAAAATATGAGGAAAAGACGGATCATAAAGAATGCGACTCAGGTATACCAATAGAAAGGTGACTCTAAGCCGTTGTTTTCTTAATACTAATGTCAATATGGGAGGTCGGAAGTGGCAACCATAGATTCATCTATCTTGAGACAAGACACCTTTTCTCTTTCAATCAACGTTAACCATATGACTTTAAGAATCTTATGCTAATACACATACATACATACATACAAACTACTGCGCATCCTTTAACTATGCTCTATCTATCTATTGACATTCTATTCTACTATCCTAATTTGGATAATAAGACATTACAAAAATGAAATGAGCTTTAACGTAACCTCAATATCCAAATCCGTCTTTGCACACATGAAAAGACACAGCGGAATGCAATTCCTTCATAACGTCATCATAGATTGGATAGGACCACAGTTGGTATTATGTGTCGTGCTGTGTTTCACAATTTGTTTTTTCCGGAAAACGAAAAATCATTATTTGAGTATCACCGCAAGAGTTACCTTCAATCGTCGGCAAGCTATAAGCATCATGCTATGCATCAGTCTAACACATTTCTATTCATTAACAAAATTCCGACAAAAAGGTGCCAGATCCGGTAAGCTTCGTCGGTGTGTGTGACTTACTGTACGCCATACACACACCATGCCTTGTGCCTACCTGCAATGCTATAACACCTTCATCTTTCATTTCATCCATATAAGGGTTACTCACGTTACTTCTGAAGTAGATGAAGATGATGAATTAACACAAAGATGAGAATATCAACATATTCTTAAGTTATATTAATCTAATCTCATAAAATTCATTTGAAACGCTTGACTGAACACATAAAACAAGAGTCGTCTATCTTACATTGTACCTCCTGGCCCGCCAGATGACTAAACATGATAATTAATTTCCATCTTATTATATACATAATACATTGTATATACAAATTAATAGACTCTTAATCATCACATGATGAACATCATTTCATATTCTAAGGTGCTACAACCTCTTACTCTCATACTCATCCTCTCTCTCTTTCTCTCCCTCTCCTTCCCTCTCTCTCTTTCTCTTTTCGTATTTGCTAGTGGTAGTCATCTGTGTCCCATATATAAAGAAATAAAAAACTTAAAAGTGTAATCAGCTGTCGTCACCTGGTAGTTAACACCTTATACATTCAAATGAGCTTCTCATATCCAGTCAATACATTGACTGCTCAATACGATATATAACATGAGATGCATTATATGGACAATAACATTGAACAGCAATATATGGTGGCGCTTGGACAGTCTTAATTAATGACTACAAAGAGACGATAAACTTAATCCAATCTTTTTGCGTCTTCATATATAACCACACTATTATATCTGCACCATATTTAAAGGATTAGACACACAGTCTCCCTCTCTCCCTCTTCCTCCACCACTCCTTTAATTTCCCGCCAAATACAGTAGTTGGGACCATTTTGGGACCATATTGGGTAATGATTAACGAATAGAGAACATAATAATATAAATGTGAAGAAAAACTGGGAGGACAACAGCATGCCTTCGGCAAAGACAATTGCCAGCGCAACAACGCTCACTTATTCAAATGAGGCACGTGAGTACTGTAGTGTGAGTGAGATTGTGTGGTGGGAGCCATTATCTTGTAAGCTTACGCATCAGGTAAACAAACAACACTTGCATTTAATTAAGTTAAATGAGATAATGAATATCGCTTTGTTCACACTTGAAGTTAAATAAGTTTCTTACAGGTAGGCAGATGTTCCCAACGAAATTCACAGCTGGATGTATCTCAGTGACCTCATTAACGTCGAACTTTAAGTCATTAAGTGAAGTTGGCAAGATTGTTAGCAAAAGTGTGAAATTACAGTTGAAAGCACTTGAGAAGCTCATGAAGTGAGTTCGAACAATAATTTTATTGAATCATCTGCTTGATCATGACTCTACCTCTAACAGATTGTGTTAATTGCGTAATGTTATCTGAAGTGTCTCATCCCATTTATATGATATTAAAGGTATTTGTATTGAGGAAATACTCGAGGTGGAAGGTGTGTTGAAGACTATCTGTCTCATTGTTATGTAATAAAATATTAGAAGAATGGCAGAAACTGGTGCTGCTCTTTCTATTATTCTCAAGAGACTCTTCTCCGCTGCCTATCGCAAATATGGCCAAGGAAGTGGTAATGACCTTGTTTATCTACACCTTGTTCTCGTCAAGCTTATTATATTAATACGAAAGGTGAACACGGATCATCCTACGGTAACCCAGTTTGTCCTTAAACAAAGCTTCCACGAGGCTTATCCCAAAAAGGATTACCCTAACGACCAACTACCAAACATGAAATATCCCAACTTCGCGCTCTCTAATCTCGTCATCCGAAACTAAACACTGGCGTCTTATGTACGTTAACGATACAACAAGAAATGAGAAAGAATAAAAATTTATTAATGTTTAAAGTGTATTAACCCGTCAAGTTTGATTAGAAATCTTTTGATTCTGATATGATGTGGACAAAGCTCTTTGATCGGTTTTAGCGACTGCTATCATACCGTCCTCCTTCTAAAGGAGGAGCAGTACGAACTGCGAGTCGAGAGGCTCCGAACGTGTGGGGATGTTCTCGTTCGTGCTCTCTTTTGATATGTGCAACAAGAGGATCTAAATCCAGGAACTCCCTTCCACACAATTTGCATGTGTAGGCGGTCATGTCAACCCTGTAAAGATAAGTATACCCATAAAAGTGGCGGTCCATCACAAACCGTGGATTGGCGAAAGGTAGGGTGGGATTAACTTGCTGCGGCTGTTCCATAGCAGCTAAGGGATCCACAGTCTTAAGTAGATTAAGATAACAGTTTATTGAGGATTGTAAAAATTACCCTTGCGGTATGAGCTACTTCATGATCTTCAGAAGCGAAGTGATGATCGCTGAGAGTTTGGGTAGGCAAGTCTATTTCACATACATCACACCTGAAATGAAGGGGGGATTAATGAAGACAAATAGGATTAGTCACCGTCTGCAGAAGTCAACAGGCTTAGGAGGCAGTAATGCAACACAACAATCATCGAACTGATTATACGGATGAGCATGGAAGACAACTGCAAATACTTCAAATTAAGCCAACCATCTTAAGTTTCGGGGACAACTTGGTTCTTGGAATCCTTGGAGAGCCTGTAGGGTACTTTTTGGTTGAATGTTCAGCTGTTGGTTATCCATGAGCTCAATGCGCATGCTGTAGTTCTGATCAGCAAGATCTACCAAATTCGAAAGTAAGATGGAAGCAGTAGTATCGATCTGAAAGAAGAAGGTTAAGTAGATTACAGTGAACCGTATAGTTCATACTCCATCTCTGATAGCCTGTGGCTCACGGGAAAACTTCACTAAGTATTCTGTTTCAGACAAACGCTTAGCCGTAATGAAAATGGTGAAATTAGGTTCCTCGAACTGATCGAGAAGGTCCTAAAGAAGAAAATGAGTTTCTGAGTATGAGGTATGATGATTACATGAGGTGTTGGCTCGAAGGCGCTTTCTTTGGTTGCTTGCAGAGGTGCTGATCCCACTTTCGAGAACTGAGCCATAGTTTCCACCAAACTCTTCTGAAAGCCATGACTTTGAAATGTCCAATGTCTTCTTCTTACCTTGACAACATTGACAGGATAACTCTTAACGGGATAGAGATTAGGCTTCGAGTCATCTTCCTGAAAGCAGACACATTGATCACAACGGTATTGATAGTCTGTTAAGCAGAATTGGTTCATCAAGATGGAAAAAATAATTTCGATAAGGCTTTGACTAAGGGGATCAGGATTGGATCAGGGAACTAATCGTTCGGGGAACATCAGTTCATTTGGGACAAATCGAAGGATAAAAACTAAAAAATGTCTTTCGTTCACGAAATACTCGGTTCCTTGAAGTTCATCAACTTCCCGTGAGGGAAAACAAGCTTTCTTCAAGATGAACAAAACAAGAAATAATTCAAGAGAGAACTCTGGTCCGTTTCGGATTCTTTGATTCATCGATAGAAATCCCATAAAGCAAACAGCAGAGAGAATAGGGAAAGATTGTTACCTCGGATACTGGAGCGGCGATGACTATGTTATCGGATTTTGTAGGCCTTGGAGGTGGAATGACGATGAGCTCCTGAAGAGTCCATATTATAGAAGCTGAGAAGGTTGAACGAACCGCTGTAGGTACACGTGGAAGTATTTGAGGTGTTTTGATGGTGGTGGTAGTAACGAAATTTTTCCTTGGCCTCTTCGACTGCTCATGACAAGATGCCTCATGCGACTGTCGGAGACTACTTGTTCTGAGATATCTACTATGACAAAGTATGTTTTCAAAATCGCACCTGAATGTTTCCTCACAGAAGTGACATTGCAAAGGTTTCTCGCCTGAGTGGATTCTCAGATGAAGAGTCAGGGCGTTTTTGGTAAAGAAGTTCTGAAAACGGTAGGCTATGAGGATGGAATTCATAGCTGTCATAACCTCTTTGCAGATGGCACATTGCTCTTGAGGAGCAACTTTCTCGTGAACCTTCTTATGAACTTTCAAGGTACTCTTTACGGTAAACGATTTGTCACAAACATCACATTTGAATGGTCTTTCCCCTGTAATCTCCAATCAGTGTGGTCCACAGTATACTGAACCTACCTGTATGGGTCCGAATATGCCGTTCCAGATCAGATCTACGTGTGAATGAAAACCTACATTGCGTACAAGCATACTTCTTGACATCCGTCCTCCTATCAACGACTTGATTGATGCTGGGTTTCAACTCAGGCAAGAAAGACGAGAAACTAATGAATAACTGAGGTTATTGAATTTGTTTTAGAAGAACTGCTCACGTGACAGGCTGGATTTCATCAATAGGAGATCTTACATAAGGATGAGAGTCTCGTAAGTGTTCAGCAGCTTCTGCTGATCCATGGAGATTGCATTGGCACAAAGGACAGTTAATGACAGTTGCAGAATGTTGGCTTTCCGTCGCAGTGCTGAAATTCTGTTTTTCAGAAGCAAAACTCTTTTCGCAATTTTATACTTGTGAAGATGAGTTGTCAACTGTGCGATGGAGTCATACAAATGATAGCAAACGGGACAACGAGTGGCCCTATCGTTTGTGGTTTCTTCGATGACTTCTTAAATAATAAATACTAATTATAGATTGCTCATTTCGAACCTCCGGGTGCATCATCAATTGGTTCTGGCAGTGCAACATCGATATTCAAATTATAAGAAGCCGCATGATGACTTGGATCAACCGACTGGGCTCTGTTGATGAAGAGACCTTCCGCCAACTCGCGACCAGTGAATTCCGAGACGGGGTAGGAGAGTGCAGAATAATTAGTTAACGCCTAAATCAGTAAGTATCTGTCAACTTTCTCAGAACTCACTCTATCTGGTTCAGGGAAGCTAGTCGAACTCTCAATATGATGTTGCTGATGGTTTCGATGACAAATTCTGATATGATTTCCATAATGCACTCTTCCAGAAAGGACCATCGGACAAAACTCACAGTCGATCGGTATTCGAGTATGAATTTCACGATGACTACGGAGTAGCTCTGTAATGCCGAGGATCAACGAAGTGAAGAAAAAACAACGAACCTATCGTCCTGAAAGATTTGTAACAAGTCCAGCAAATGTGAGGCTTCAAGCCCTGATGCCAAGCTTTATGTTCTTTATGAGCTTTGAAGGAATAGAAAGAAGCTGAGCACTGCTTGCATTCATAAGGTCTGATAAAGACGAGAATGATTAACTAAAACTGGAATTGATGAATACTTCTTTAAATTGACACTGTTTGTCGTTCGCTTGGTCACAGCATTATTCCCGGATAGATCCATAACACTTATCACGTCGGCGTCGCTTGGAACACGAGTACATCTATGTCGATCGAGCTTGTGGATAGTCGCGAAATGCTGAAAACTTCTTTGAGACAATATTCAAGGGAGAAACTCACTAAGCCACAATCCCGACACTCATAGCTGCTTTCATGAACCAACATATGCTTTCTTAAGTTGGCCTCGGAAGAAAACTTAAAGAAGGTAATCTCTAAAGGATTCTGTAAAGGATACTTACATGGCGTAAACAGATGGTACATTTTGGATCAGTTAGAACAGGATCGTCTATATCTTTTCGAGCATGCAAATCAAGATGAAGCTTTAATGAAGATCTCAATTTGAATCTGAAAGACAAGTCACCGTTTTTCATTGGATGAACTCGACCAACCTCCGTGAGCAACGATTACATTTGAAAGGTTTGTCTTCCTCATTAACAACATGAACACTCTTATGTCTTATCAAAGCAGATTTCTTACTGAATACAAGAGAGCACATATCACAAGAAAGTGATGTAGAAGCTGAAATGATGAAAATGGTGAGATTAATCGAAGTTTGAAGTTACATTTCGTTCCATGAGCTTTAGCAGCATGCCTCCTAAGAGAAGCTTGATTCGAGAACTGACAAGGACAAGATGCACAGTCAAACAAGACTCGATTACTTTCTAATGGATGTATTCGTTTCACATGACGCTCCAAATTGAATGGCTTAAAACAGAGTGTATTGAGAGAACATGGTTAGAAGTTTACCTTGGTGAAAGTCTGATCACATATTTTGCAGACATGCGCTTTGGTGGTAGCCGAATCTGAATGGACTTTCTTCCGATGACTAAGCAATCCCGATTTGTGAGCGAACTTTTTCTCGCAGATACTACAAGACCAACAAGCGATTTCTGAGAAAATGATTCTTAGTTACGAGATATGTATTATCAACATACTTTCGTGGACTGCTTTATGTCGCTTCAGTTCGGCAGGACGTCGAAAAGACTTGGAGCATTCTGTACAAGTGTAAGCAAGCTTTTTCTTTTTCAGCTCAGTTTCAGTTTCCTCTTTCACCTTCGCTGTTCTTTTCCTATCTATTTTCCTTAAAGAACCTTCGTAAGCTATGTTAACGAGTTAGAACGAACGTGTGTAATGAATGTACAAGACGATGAGAATCCACTTTTTCCATTTCTAACAACTTATTGCACTTCGGACAAAATCCAACCTCGTTAGAAAATCCTCTTCTTTCTCTTTCTCGCTTGGTGGCGTGATGTAGCCGTTTGTGTCTTTGGAACAATTCCTTAAACATCACGATGTTACTTCGTTTGACTTTCAGCGAACTTACAGGGAAATTGAACTCCTCATTACAATAAGTACATTGGAAGACATCAGACCTAATATGAGTTTTAATATGAGCTATGTAGGAATGGAATCTTTGAAAGCTTTTTTTCTTTTTGTTTGGACCATCACAGAAGCGACAATCCTGACCCGCAACAAATTTTTCCTGTAATGCAGTTTCATGAAAGACGGAAAGAGAGAAACAAATCTGACCAAACGCAAATGATCGACGATTTCGTGCACAGCTAAGTTATGAGGCGAATTAAACCGTTGTCCACATGTGGAACACCTGTAGATGAGAATCACAAGGAGGAAACGCTGACGGACATACCCGAATTTCTTTTTGAGGCAACAATTTGATTCATTATGTGTGTCTTTTTTGATATCTACTAGTTTATCACAATCGATACAATGAGCTTTAGTTATAACTTCCTATAACAGAAGAAGTCAAGGAAGTTCATTATGAAGCAAGCTCTCACGTAATAAGTTTGATTATCTTCTCCTATGAGAGGAATATTTGAGCAAGACTGTCCAAAACCATCTTCTGCACTAGAACTATATTGAAAGGTTTGAGATTCTGTAAGCTTTTTGTCCGAATTGGAATTGTTTCAGTCTAACCTTCAGGAGCGGTGGCGTCCAAATGGAAAGCTAAGTCTACAGGTTCTGAGTTATATATAAAGTCAGGCTCTTGATTCTCCTGAGAGGAAGGGAAATGTGTTGTAACAGTGAGAAGAGTCTTGTCTACCTCATAAACGTTATTGGCTTCATCAAAATGATATTGTAGAGATATGGATGGTTGCCATTCTCTCGCATTGTCTTCTTCGAGCTGATCATGTAACGCTGCTACAACAAGATATTTGTGCTTTTTTTGCAGATGTTGAACGAACTCACAGTCTGTTTGTAAAGAGAGAGCGAAATTCTGGGTGGGATAGAATTGATAATCTATGTCCTGCTCTGACATCACATACTGAAATCTTTATTGTTATAAAACGATATATACAGTTAGGAGCATGAATGGTAAGAACATAAGTACAATGGACGGAATGATAAGCACTAAATATTAATTTTAAAGACAAAGCTAGAATGCATTCTTCAGATTCGATAATCCCGGCAAATCAGGTAACTTCATATCTTTCAGCTGTTGAGGTAGATTCATGTTTTTTACGGCTGATACAGCTCGAGCAGGAGCAGCGGAAATTCCAGCTTCCTGCTTTTGTAGTTTTTCTTGCTCTTGAATCCGCATAAGGATTTCGTTCATATTCGTTTCCAACACCATTCCTCCCATAACTATTTCACTGAGGATGTGATGAACTTTGTCGACGTGAAAAATGAGGTCAAGCTCGCAAACATTTTCAAAACAACGGTCCAGAGTTTCGACAAAAACTTGGATGAGATCAAGAATACCCAACTCACTCTCGGAGGAGTCTACACAGAAGATGAAATATAGAGTAGCATAGTGACGATAGATGAGTCGATAATCATTTCCGTCAATGAGAGTTCCTCCTTCCAGAAAGTTACAAACGTTATCGTCGCGTTTAGAAACTAATTGAAATGTTTCTCTAACTATCTGTTGTTGCATTTCCTCAGAATAATGTTGATAAAACTTTAGTAATCTAGGTTTTCCATGGTTGTTGATTACCAAAATGGCTTTAATCATGTTACCTATAAGAACGAAATAATTAAGACTTCAAATTGATCGTGTCAAATCACAAAGAACGCAACAAAGCTTGTATTTGACATATGGCCAAAACAATTACCAATAATCAATGAGTGTGTTGTGTGCGCATACTCCACAATGCGGTGGGCCAGTTTTCGTGTCGGGACGAAACAGAACATCTTTCCGATTTCCTCAGCTAGGGTCAAATATTTTGGGATTGTCTACATGTTTGACGTCTAAAATATTTCATGTAACCTTTTTTTGAATTAAAATTGTGTTAATTTAACGAAATTCAATGATTCTATAAAATTGTATATTCATATGGATTGCTGCCCTTGCTTAAATCTGTTTTTGATATTGGTTATCATAGTTTTTCTACTTTTTCAATGATTTTACTGATTTTACTGATTTTCCCAAAGCTTGAACTTACAGGTAACCTTGGGGCAACATGACTAAGATTCATTACACAAGAAACCCCGAAAATAGCACGAAGTCGTGCAAAGCCCGCGGATCTGATCTCCGTGTTCACTTCAAGAACACTCATCAGGCTGCTATGGCTCTCCGCCACATGCCATTGAGACGTGCTCAACGTTTCCTTGAGAACGTTAAGGAGAAGAAGGAAATCGTACCTTTCTTCAAGTTCAACGGAGGTATTGGACGTAAAGCTCAAGCCAAGAACTGGAACACCACCCAGGGACGTTGGCCAGTCAAGTCCGCCGAGTTCCTTCTCGACCTTTTGAAGTGAGTCTTACTTTTCATATTGTTATTATTGATGTATAAACAGGAACGCTGAAAGCAACGCTGAGTACAAGGGACTCGATGTTGATCACCTCGTCATCGATCACATCAATGTTCAAAGAGCCGCCAAGATGCGCAGAAGAACATACCGTGCTCACGGAAGAATCAATCGTAAGTCTTTATTTCTGTTTAAAACTTTGATTTGCTTTTTCTTTAGCATACATGTCTTCTCCCTGCCACATCGAGGTTATCCTCACTGAGAAGGAAGACGTTGTTTCCAAGCCAACCGAAGATGCCCCAAAGGCTAAGAAGGAATCCAAGAGGAAGCAAAGACGTCAACTGGCTCGCGGAGAGTATTAAGTTGTTACTTGTTGAAATAAATAAACTTTTTGTTCATTAAATTTTTATGAATTCGCCACTGTTATCTTCATAACTATTGATTTTCTATTTTCTGAGGGGATCTAACGTATTATGAAGATGCAAGTAGCTCGGTTTTGTTCAGTGGCTTCGACTTCAACCAACCTTCCGAGAACAGTAAGATCGTGTGTACGTGAGTTGGCGTTGGCAAGACAGTTCGTTGATGAGGTAGCCTTTTCTGTTCATGATATTTGATGTTTTTTTTGATAGGGGAGCAAAACTTCACTGAAAAAGCTAGTAAAGGTTTCTTTAAAGCAGAAGGAGTCTAATGAGCTAACGTCGAGGGTAGCTGCACTCGGTGCATTCTTAGCATTGAAGCATGTGTGGTTTATTTTCTCAGAAATCAAAAAATTCCATCGTTTAAGGATAGACTAGATGATGCTCGCCAATGCTTGAAAAAGGTTACCAGTTCTCCGCCAATTGTAAAGTCGTCTTTGGATGTAATGTATTTAGTGAAGATGAAGGAAGTGAACGAAGCTTTAGATATTCTGGATGACGTGTTGAACACTGAGCAACAAATTTTCAATACAGAAAACTCGTCGATTACTGATGATGCGGTTAGTGGTTGTTAATTAGAATATGACAAGGAAATGTTTCAGCTTGATTGCTTGCACGCAGAAATCACCAAATCGAAGGATACTACAGACCAGGTTAGTTCATGTTTGAGATTGAAATTCAGCTTTGTATACAGATGAGAAGGTTCCGAAAACTTCAGAGACTTCTAACAACCTATAAGTGTCGAAGCACAAAACCGTTGCTTGAAATCCTCAATAGTTCTCTTGAAACCGATTTCATAACTGATGATCGAGTACTCGGAGAAGATCTAATAAGTGACAAAGTTGTGGAAGATTTTCCACATTTCTTACATAAAACTGTTTGAACGATTTTTAAATTATTTTATATTTGTGTTTTTTCGAACTTTACTCGCTTGGCTAGAATATGTAGCAAACATGCTTGTTCATATATACGTTTTATATCATACTTTCAGGAACATGAGTGATAGTTGAATCGTGCTTACTCCATTGTTCTGATAAGTCAAATTGTCATACAATATGTTATAAGGCCGGATGTATTGCAAATACTGCACGATTTTGCCATTTATGCTTAGAGTTTTTAAAGGGGGCTGATTTGTGCGGGTTTGGTGTCATATCTTGGATGTGAACTCATAATGAGCAAGCTTGAAAAAAGGAGTTCAACTTGGTTGGCTTGGAAAATACATTCTTCCCACCTCGTATATTGCGCACGACCGCTAGGAGGTATATGACGATGGTGTAAATGAAAAAGTCCGAGTTTCATTTTTCTTCAAACTTTGTTGTTTGTGGTTGTTTTTTCTTCTCCATTCCGCTCTGAATATCAGTGAGTGGTACCCTCGTTGTTTCATTTCAGACATCGTATCGTGGCTTACCGGTTGTGCAGCGAGTTGTAAAACATGAGGAACATGATTTCTCTAATAGTAAACAGTTTCGTTACATATGTGGCCTTGTTTTCCCGTTTGATGATCAGTTCATTCTAAACGAACCGTCAAACTTGAAGCTAAGCTTGTATCCTTGGTGCGCACGAGTTCCCATGAAGATCGTGAAGATTACTTATCGAAAAGCTTTTCGTGTTCATAACGGACTTATTTGTACAAAGATTAGGATAAAGTCTGATTGTTAGGTGTGCATTGAGTTGTTGCGAATCTTTGATGTGTTGAGTTCATTCAAACGTCAGAACAACAAAAAATGATTATGTGAATTGAAGAATTAGTAGCGTCTCATCGAATGGATCTTTAAGAAGCAGCGTTCCATTGAGGCCAGCATTTGTTGGTGTTGTTGAATGCAGCGGCAGTCATACAGCATCTGAAGCACACGGTTGGTCCTGGTCATTAAGATTGTAAACTCACTTATATCTATTGAAAGCACACCAGTTCACACTGTTGCTGTTACAGTTGCTTACGCATCTAGCGAAGCATGGCTTGGTCTGCCAGCTTAATCAGAATGAATGACTGAAACCGTACAAGCAAGAACTTACACATCGAAACGAGGAGGAATGCAGTTAGGAGCTTCAAGAGCAC